CCAACTCCTAATATCCTGTGATTCTGTGATCAAAGATAAAAGATGCTGGGAGAGAAGGTCCAGGCCACACACACTTGAACTAATGCAGATGTTACTGGGGACAAGAGGGTTCCACACATTTGTGTCTATTAGCTTTTTATTGACTATATGTATTTATGGGTAATATATCTATATGTATTTTTATGTATGTTGTTCCTTGCTGTGTAGAGCAAGGCTTGTATCATGTGAATGCCATCAGACATAGCAAAAGACTCTAGCAAATCCACAGTCCTGAATTCCTCTCTAATGAACCCAGCAGCTAAGAGCAAACAGCACTGACCTGTGTTGTAGTGCTTTGTGCAGTATCTCAAGTCTTTTTCTTCTTTGAGGATAAACTGCGGCAGTGTCAGCCCATCAGCAACTTGCACGGCTCCTTTTTCTTGCCACTCAAATATGAGATCATTCATCGTATAGCCAACTGTTGAGAGGAGGGGACAAACACTGTGTGAAACATATTAAATACTGATCTGCAAAGGCACAGACTTGTAGAAGACAGATATGCTTAGAGGCAGGGGCTTATCCTGGTCTTCCTTGGCAATGCTGCAATGAATGGGATTTGGGTTGAGGCAGAACTGCTTGTGCATGTGTTAGAAGCTAGGGTAATGACCTGCACTGGAGCTGTAATAGTGTGCAATGAATAGTCTGGAATAAATCACATTTTTCCTTGAATTTTGCTTGTTGAGCTGTTTGTTATTTTTTCAAACTTGACCTCTTTCTCTGAATGAAGTTGTTCATTGCCTTTCCCTCCTTTGGGATAGGAAACATGTACAAGGGGTAAACGTTCATCCAGAGAGAAAAAATATCATTTGTAGCTGAAAGCACTTTCACCTTTCTCCTCCAAAGTGAAAGCCCAATGTAAATATAAGCAAGCCAGGGCTCCTCTCATGGGATCTTTCAAGGTTTGGCTTCTCTAGCAGATGTCACATGTGCTGAATGAATGGAAAATCCTGAGCAAGTGGTTCTCAAGCAAGCATCCAGTGAAGGCTGAACTGGGAATGGGCTGCAGCTGGGGAGGGAGATGGCAGGGGAGGGTGAAAACATGTTATCTCCTCTGCAAAATGGACATGTGTGCAAGACTCACAGCTTTCTAACTGCATGATGCACGTCTGTACATCCATGGGGAAGTTCTTCAGGTCCATGGGGCAGGCCAGAGTCAGTGTGATCCTGAGGAGAGAAGACAGCACAGGGGAATACCATACAGTTTGTGGTACTGATGAGGGGGTGAACACTCTTGGGCATCCAATGTTGCAGACAGGCTGGTACCTTGCCTAAGATACACTGGTGTCCTGAGGGATTGACTGATTGTTCACCTCTTCCCTGCCTGTGTTTTCACACATGGTGTTGGAAAGCGTCAGAAATACCAAATATTTGGGGCTGTGATATAATTCCCAGCAGAGTCACCTGCTGCAGATGGTGGTTCATTGCAGTGTTGTCTGGGACTGTGCAGAGCAAAGAGTTCTCACACCAAATAGTTTTGCTGCTTTTGTCTTCATTTCAGGTTCACAACAGCCTGGATTAGTAGCAAGCCCAAACCCATCCTCTGGACTCCACAGATACATTCCTAGAGTCTGAAACTGTTTGGAAATCTTTGAGCACAACATTTCTGTGCCAGGGGAAAAAAAAAAAGGTTTGGTCAAGATCACACGTTGCCATGGGGGAAAAGAAAGATTTGGTGGTATTTTCTGCAGGGAAAATGCCCTGTGGTAGGTCAATGTGAATTTCTCTATCTTCTTGAATTCCTTCTGCGACTCCTGAAACTTCTAGTTTTGTCTCTCAAGCTCCATTTTCCACTGGGTGCAGGCTGCATTTTCTGTGGTATTGCTGTGCTGCCCTATACCGTTACCTATGCTCAAAATGTTTGTTTGGTTCAACAAGCAGATATTAAATGATCTGCTGATTCATTTAGCTAGATTTGTGTTGTTTGGTTTGATAATGCTGAAAATGCTGTTCCTTGAAGTGTTTAGATTTTTCAACTTTTTGTCTTGATGTAGAAACAGCAAAATTTCCAGGGGGACAGGAATTGATTTTTTTCTATCATCAGACCTACAAGAAACTTAGCACGAGGGAAAGATACATTAACTTAAATCCTTATATTGGAAGAAATTCTCTGCTTGAGTTTAGAGGCACAGTGGGACAGATGATGTTGTGACAGTAGAAAGAATCGACCTGTTCAAGTTTCCCTTTTATGAAAACAGGTGCATTTTCTGTGTTTCAACAAACACCTGCATAGCAGAGGGTCAGCATTAGCCTTTGCCCACTTTGTTTATCTCATCACATCTCTGACAGGGGACTCCATCTCTGATCAGTGAGATAAGCCTTCAATTAGATGTTCAGACAAGCCCCTTGGGAAGAATTCACTGTAAATACCTGCCAGATGTGAAAGAGGTGACTGTAGCCATGACCAGGTCATGGGATGCTAAGCACACACTGGAAAAGTTTGTGCTGAGAAGAGAATAGAAAGCAAAATCTTCAAGGTTCATTTTGGGTGAGCCCAGGGCTGAGCATGCTGAGTCTTGGGTCCATGGGACAAAGTCCACCTTCTTGTGAGTATCTTAACTAGGATTTGACTATTGCAAATAGTAGTAGCAAAGAGCCAGTTAGAAAATGGCAGAGCACTTTAAACAGATACATTATTTTTAAAGTAAGACTATTCCTCCTTTTGGAAACTCTTTGTATTTACATTGTGTGGTTCCATCATGATGTCCTCTTTCTTTTCAGTTTTCACAGGAAAATGCACGTAAAAAGAAACCTGTGTTTTCAGGCAGAGATGAGGAAGATGATAGGAAACGTCTTTTTTAAATAAGAACTGAAGTGTTTTCATGTTTTTGCCTTGAAAATGGTGATGGTGCATTGCTCCTTGCTGAGTCATTGCTCTGTTTTGCAGAGCAACCCCAGGGCTGGAGTGGCTCATTATTCCCCCTCTATGCTCCTGCAAACCCACCTGGAACAAGACTCTCTGTCACACTCACTGCCAGTTTGCTGGTGGTAGCTTTACTACCTGCCTGTTTTTAGAAATTGAGAAACGTGAGGCTTCCACATTCAGCCAATGTGCATGGCATTTCTCCTCCTGTTTTGGCCATCAGGGATCTGGTCTTTGGACTGGAACCAACTTGATGTTAGATGGTGGCTGTCTATGTTGCAGCATTAAGCTGCTTATTTTCCATTTTACAGCTCCACGCTGCTTTTTCTTCCCCATGTCTGCCACTGGGAGCTGCAGCTTGAGATGGGGTTTGAGTACCTTAAGCAAATTTACATTATACATCAGGTGTAAAAGTCTTCAAGACAGAGTTAAACTTTACCTCTTTAAGCTCATGAAGTTTGATTTTTATTTCATTGGCTTAAAATAAAGAGTGGATGGGGCTGGAAGTGAAGTGAAGGTGGGGGATTGGCTTGATTTCCTGTGGGAAATTCAGTGCAATTAGTTCAGCTTCACTGATGGATTCTCAGATCTAGTGATAAAGGGATAATTGGGAAGAGTTATGCTGAGACAAAGCCATGGACCTCTACTTAGCAGTTTCCCTAATTTTCTGTCAGGAAATGCTGTAGCTTTCAAGACAGAGTTTTACATGGGCTTTTACTAGTTTTCAGGTAATAGAGATGGTTTTAGGCTTGCATTAGTATAATATTGCCAACAATTTGACATTAGGGATCTTCGGGAATCTGCTATGAGGAGCAGAAGTCCTTGGACCAAGGAAGGTAGAGAAGAGCTAGGTTCATTCCCAGAGCAAGATTTGATCTCAATATGCTCTGGCTAACACCTTCCTGGTTATTACTTGTCTACCTGTTGTATAAACAGCAGCAAGCGGCAACCATATGGCTGAACAACCCACATCCTTCTGCTCCAACATGGATCCAACTATTGATGTAAGGAGGCATTTCCCATCCTTCCTTTTTCACTCCTTTTTTTTTCTCTCCCTTCTGCAAATAAAACTATTTCTGAAAATAAATTTTGCCAGGCATAGTTGTGTCTTAGCAGCTCTTGAGGACAAAGTGGCCTGGGGGTGTGGAAGTACACCCAGCTATGCAGTGATCTCTGCTGTCCCAGAGGCAGCCCAGCTGCTGGTGTGCAGTCCCCATGCCTTTTGAAAGCACCATCCTTCTTCAAGATCCTGACTTGTGGAGGGAGGCATGAGCATAGGAAAATTTATCTCTGTTTCAAGCTCTTCACTGGTGTGTGATAGAGTACTGCTAGGCTGCCCAGTCCATTTTGGATTTGCGTCTTCTTATTTAACCATGAAGAAAAATAATGGTGTTATGCATATTTTCTTTTAAAGGGAAGCTACTAATGCAAAATTAGTACTTGAAGCTCAGGTAGCAATTGGCACTTTCTCAGAAGGATCACACACTTTCGCCAGCCTTTTCTTCTGTGGGTACTTGGAGAAAGACCTTTTCACTTGCAGCACATTACTCTGCTTCCGCAAGGACGTGCTTAGGCATACAAACGGGGAGGTGTACACCCCACTGCTCTTAAGCACAGGTTAAAACTGGATATAAAGGTCCAGATGAGGGAGCTGGTTAATGACCTTTTTCTCTTTTTTAGGCTGTGTAGCAGTATTTGATTCAAAAAAACCCAAACCACTTTTGCTCAGGGAAATAAGAGTGTGTTTCACTTTTCAGTGATTTTTGTGCCAAGGAATCTGCCCCAGAAGGGGGATGAAACACTGGCGCAGGCTTCCCATAGAGGCCATGGGATCCCCATCCATGGAGTATTTAAATTTGGTCAGACAAAGCTACATCTGACCTGATTTTTTGTCAATCATCAGGAGGAGGTTGCATGGGAGACCTCCAGAGGTCCTTTCCCATCACATTGCTATGACACTGTTAACTGTATAATCTCTCAGTTAAAAAAAAACGAACAAACCAAAACAACAAAACAACTCAATTTCTTTTATCCAATGTCATGCTCAGAGTCTTCACTTTCTCATTTTAAGCTTGAACAATGCCATCCCCCACATCAGTGGAGCTTTCCCCATTGAGTCACCTCACCTGATGCTGTAGAGAACATTGCCATTTCTGGAGATCCGCAGAAGCTTGTTGTCTGTGGTAATCTCATGGAAATGGGCCCCTTTCTCATTAGCAAAAAACAAGTCAGGCTTCCAGATGGAGTCCAGCATAGAAGGGTCCAGGTCCAGAGAGTCGTCAGGATATTCATTGTACGCCAGTCGTGGGTCATTCCACTGCTGCCGCAGGAAGATGTTCACCCTGTAATCCTGCACAGTGTAAGCAGGGAGCAGAGAAACGCAGTTAGTGCTCCGAGCAGGCTGAAAGTGCTAAGAACTGAGGAAGATATACTAAAGTAATTCTCAAAACCAAATCGTGTCTAGGCTTTCGTTCTCAAGCTATGGCGAGCCCTCTTGGCATTATTTCCCAAGGAGTTGTCACTATTTTTAGCTCTGTCTCTTACAGCTATCTCATAGCCTGAGCAGCTGCCTACCCTTACATCCCTCCATCACAGCAATTGTCAGCTGTGTGTGAAGAGTCAAGGCCTCTGCTCTGATCTCTGGGGCTGAAGAAGTGATGTTCAGTTGCTGAGGTCGTAAGGGTTGGTGTCAGCAAGACGACTGTTGCAGAGGATTAAGGGGGAAAGGACACCAAAGCCAACTTCCTTTCAGTGTTGAACCATCCTAAATTGTGACTATTTATGGTTCCTTCAAACTTGTGAAAAGAAAAGGCACAGTGAGGCAGGCAGTCCATGGAAGGGATATTCCCTATGTATCCACTAATATGAGAGTAACTCAGATGAACTGATGGGAGCAGCTGCCCTTGGAGAGAGTACATGAAGTCTGCTCTCCTAATCCTGAGTGTGTGTTCTGGATTCCCCTCACTAATGCCCAATTGCCATAAATGCTACAGATTTTATAGGATGGCTGTCTTCTTTAATTGAAGCTAGTGCCCCAGCACTACACAAAGTGATATCTGCCTCGTAGCCATATGTCTTACAGCTCCCCTGAGGTCCCCAGGCCAAGGCTGACTGCTGAGGTCAAGCTCAGACACTTTCCTGGACAATTAAAGGCAGTTTCTGTTTTCCCTGTCTGACCAATAGCTTCCCAGGGTGATCTCGATGCCTCTTTTCTGCTGAATTTCATATAAGAAAGTGAGCCAACAAATTGAAATGAGGAGAGGACATGCCAGCTATCAGGAGAGGGATTAAAAGCTCCAAGTCCATAAATTAAATGACATTTTCTAAGTATAGAAGCAGACTGCATCTGAAGAGCAGCATATAACAAACCAATTTCCCTGCCCTGGCCCAAACTAATAGTTGCTATCATGATTCAGGGTTTCTTTGGTGCCTTTCTAATACTAACGTACTTTGAAGATGTTTTACTAAGAGATAGTTAATGGAGGATGTCTGATGTGCTTGCTGGTATCTACTCCCTGCTGCAGACACTAGGACTCTTCTTTCAGTGAGACTTGATTGAAGGGTATGTGTGAAAGAGGCTTTCTTGTGTTGCTGTCTCAAGTGCTCGCTTGATTATGAACAGCCTCTTGTCCAGGAGGACATGACTCTTGTGGAGTGCAGCCACGCTCAAAAGGTTGGAAGGGAATTGTGTCTTGGGTGCCTTGCGTTATGGATGGGGCAGTTCATAGCCAAGCCCATGGTCTAGAGTCTGTTTCAGGCCACTTTTAGTGCCATCTGCATCCTTGAAGCATGGAAGCTGCTAATGACGTTAATGATTGTGACAACAGCAAATGGACCAAGGACTTGATGCTAAAAGAAGCAGACCTATGAACATGAAAAAGAGTTGCAACACTCTCTCCTTCTGCTGATATTCCAAATGTCACCTTCACAAGTCCTAGCGTATCCCTCTGACTTAATTATTCATCTCTGTCCAGCCTGGATAATGTGTCTTGAGAAAATGTGAATAGCTGTGGACAGCTCGGAATCAGGGTCTTAGCGCAGGACTCGCCAGTCATGCAAACCTGGAAAAGGAAAGCAACCCTGAACATACACTTTCCATGCCACGCAGCAGCTCCCTGAACAACTTGTATGCTTTCAGTTCATTGCAGTCAGGGGAAATCGATGTCAATGACCTAATAGGTAGAAAGCAAAAGGTTGTTTTGCTTATTCAGCTACAAATAAGCTGGATGCCAGCAGGTCAGCTTCAGTTGGGGGCTTATGTCATGTACAGCACAAATTAAACTCATGTTTGGAAGAAACTTCAGTGGTAGCTGCCCAGAAGTGTTCTCAGCCTGATGGAGTGTTGGACGGGGGGAGGAATGGAGCCAATCTCTCTACAACAGTCTGTGTTGCAGTGGATAAGCTTTGTTGCTGGAGTAAATTCATTGCTTCAGCTCCCAAATTTGCCAAAAGAAAAGGAAGGGGTAAGAAGAAAGGTGTAGAGTGCTTTACATTGTCACCACTGCAGGTATAAGAGGCCACGAGCAAAACAACTGCCATAGTCTTCATCACCATGATGAAAGATCTTAATCACATACTTGTGGGCCAAATGGAAATTAATTTCTCACAGTCGATGACTGTGATAAGGCCCCTCCTAACCAGTCTTCAGAGACCAAGTGTCCTGTGCTCATGTCCTGTGGAAGAAAGTCCCAGGGGCATGTAGTAGATGTGTGGTGTGAGAGACTGCACTAACTCCACCCAGGGGATGTTCAGCAGTGTGGTGAGCAAATCTGGTGCATGCTATTCTTTCTCCTCCTTCTTTGGAGACAGGTGTTTGCAGTGGATATATTTTGTTTTATGTTGTGTTATAAAAAAGGCAAGGCCAAAGAAATATAGCACATGCATTGAATGCAATTCTCTGGCTTTGCCATTTTACAGCATTAGTATTCTACATGCATGTATGTGTGTTTATGAAAATCTTCCTTCTCATTGAGTATATTCCACAGTCCTGGTTGGCTACTGGGAATGGCTGTTTCCTTTCAGATGCCTTTTCCCTCGTGACAGACAGCTGCATTGCACTGTAGTATTGTAGGTGTTGAGGAGCCTTTTAGATTTCGTGTCCATGCTTATTTGACCATAAATGTAAAAATAAGCACTGTGACTGCAAACTGGACATGACACTGCCTGAGGAGCTGGCAGAAGGCATAGAGAGCAGATGGGGCATGTCTGTGACTGACACAGCCTAAGGTAAGTGTTGCAGTATTCTGTACCAGCTAAGAATCCTGTGTGTTGAAAGCTTTGTGCCCAGGCATTGCCGTCAAGCTGAGAGGTGATGAGCTGAACACGCTCATTTGTTGGCTACCTGGAGACACACAACATTTCATCTGGATGCTGTTGTATGAGATCTTAATTAGCATCACCAAGAAGTTCACAGTTATTCCTAGATGATGGACAGAATAGACCTATTTCTGATGTGAACTTTCAAGCAAAAAAAACCCAAAAAACCCAGAAAAACAAAAAGGGTTTTACCAGGGCTGCAAACTCAGCAAAAAAAAAAATAATCTTTTTCTCCATATCCTTCTTATCACTTGAGCTCCTCATTTGTGTGCCAATCACATCCAGACATTGATTATCTTGTGCAGCCTGCTCCTCTGTCTGGCTTGGGAGTGGAGACCAGCAACCCTGTGTTATGAAGGCATTCAGGAGCTTTGCAGTTTGGCACAAAGACATTTTACTCCCAAGGGGGTAATAACACAGGGCAGGAAGAAAATAACTGAAGTGATCAAGGTATTTCAATTTGATAATGCTGAAATGAAATTCTGCTTAGTGGCCTTGCAAGAACCCAAGGAAATGGGAGATAATTTCAGACTGTTCTTTCCCAAGATACCACTGTCTTGGCATCTGATGCTCGGTGAGCTGATGAAAGCAGTGGCAGGCTGGAGGTAGTGGTGTGAAGAAGAGATGGAGGCTGTGAGAAAAGTCAATAGGTTTCAGCCCCTGACTTGGGAGTTCTGTCAGACCAGCCTCTGCACTCATCAGTTCTGGTGAGAGACTTTGCTTTGATGGATTTAAATTTTGCTGATGGAAAAAAAGAAAACAACAAAATAAAGACCAAACTCCCTTGAGAGGGGATTCTGTTATCCTACCTGAACAGCAGAGCACAAGGGCCTTTATTGACATTGGGTTCATTCTCTAGAAAGGGAATAAACAAGCATTTTTCCAAACCACACCAGGAGCAGACCTTGGAAGAGTTAGCAGGGGACCTCATTACCTTGCCACAGCTGTAGCCAAGTAGCTAATTTGCAGCCTGGTGTGAAAGCTGCAGCTGGGCCAAGGGGAGGAGGTGGTGTGGCTGGTAGTCTTGTTGCAGGTGTTGATGTGGACTAAGACTGTTTTTTGAGGAAGGTAGGCATATGGTTGAGGGGTTGGAGAAGTACTCTGATGCTTACTGGTTTTTTGGTGCTGAAATCCAAACCAGGAATTTTTTCTGGGTTTTCATACAAAAGGTGGGGAAAGTGAGTTTCTCTGGGTTAAGGATAGAGCTGCTGGGGGAGTGGGCTGTAGCTAGCATCCTGAATTTCAAGCTTAGAAATTTAGCTGTGAGGTCTTTTTCCTCTGGCTTGGTAGTTTTTTGTGTGTGTGTCCTTATATTTGAGTTGCATGGTTCTATTGCTTCTTTTTTTCTCTATTCCCTCCTCTATTTAATGTAAAGATAGACTCTCGCCATAGAAGCAGCCAAAACACTGCAGGTCTAACACGGAAACCGCAACAGACTGCGAGATGTTGTGAAAGCCTTTTCATTTTGCATTGTGTGACTTGTTACATGCTTATCATCTCTGTGGGACTGATGATTGGTTTTAAGAGTGACTGACTGTAGAAAATTGATCTCAAAACCTAGTCTTTGTACAGGCTTTGTGTGGTGATACTTGTGGCTTTCCCTGACCTTGGGGTGAGTGGGCCCATTATTAAATGTGACCCATACACTTCATCAGTCATATTTGCTATCTGTGCTACTGTGTACTGTGGCTTGTGAGGTTGGAGTGAATTGCCCAGTCTGTTTTGCAGGGTGGTTTGTAATCATATTGGAAAGCTCATGTGCAGATGACTCTGAACAACTATTTAACATTTGGACAGTTGCAGCCTCTAGCTTCTCCTGTCCTTAGGAGATGCTGGGAGACCAATTGTGACTGTGCTGCAGCCGGCTGGAAGTTTACATTTGGTTTGCTCTTTTCAAATGGCATAATGATGGCATACAAAATCAGCAGAAATAAATTTGCATATATACACTGTGTCTTGTGGTTTTATTTCTTTTATAATCTCTTATTTGCTTCATGTGGGCCCTCTTTAACACACGAGGCTGGGAGGTGTCATCTCAAGCATTGAGCCCAGCTCCTAGCAACTTTAGGTGATGATGTAAAAATAAAATATTCTCCTTTCTCCGTGTGTCTTCTCTGTATACAAAATGCTCCCAACTGCCTAAACCAGCAAGAGGTCCATAAAACTGTAGCCTCTATTGGAAGAGACATCAAAGGCATCACTTAATTCCATGTTTGATATTATAGCAGGAATTTGTTAGATGAAGTGCTCAGATAACTCTACCCATTGTCTTGTGCTATGAAGAAAAGCTGAAGCTGGTACAGTTTATTCATTTAAAACCAAGACCTTGTTCCCTAGGTGCTTGACTTCTGTTTCATTTTGAATTAAGAATTTGTAGTTTTGCTATAGGTTTTCTACTCTGGTATGGCTGGGGGAAGGTGTTTATCTTTTTGAAAAGCAAAAAGGGATTTAACAGCTTTTGGTTGGGGATTGTCTGGTGTTTTTAGTAAAAATAAGCAGGTAGTGGATGCATCTAGCATCTGTCTTCTGGAATTCTCTGCTGTTGGGTGCACTATGGCAATAATGCTTTGGGACAGAAGGAGGCCGTCAGCACTTGCCTAGCTGTTGTATTTGGTAGTACCTTGCCCCTTGAAGCACTTGTTGGCTTCACAGGGATGTGCTCCCAATTGCAAGTTCCCTTGTCCTTAGAGCTGATTTCAAGTGAGGCTGACGAATGTGAGCTATGAGCCACAATCTAACATAAACTTCCAATCAATTACGTGCACCACTAGAGGCTTTCATGTTGGGTCTCCAGTTCTGCAGGATGCTTAGAGTTCTTCTTCCCTCACTTTAAGTCTGCTCTGCTTTGGAGAATTCAGTTTGGATGACTTTGCTTTGTGTCCCCCACTCCCCACATCTTCCCTCTATCCTAGCAGCAGTTTTCAGGTCTCCATTTCTTTCCATGTTCATTTTGGACCTTTGTGGGGTAGATACCTGCTTTCTGCTTGCTCTGTCTTCGCCGCCTTTCAACCTCAACTCATTTTCCTCCCTTCTGAGGTTTGTAGACCCAAGTGGTTGCACCAGATGCCTATTTTGTTCTATTTTCCTGTATTTTCTCCTCTACCTTCTATAATGCCTCAGACTGTAAGTAAGAAGTCACCTCTATGCTCTCTAACCCTTTGCATGGTGACCTCATGATTTATGCTCATTTGTGAGATCCGGGCAGTGTTAAACTTAAATGGCAGCAATGATATTTTCTGTAGGAACTAACAGCACCAATATGAAGATATTTTAAAGGCTTTTCTAATTACATGTGTGGTATCCATAAAAACCTGTGACTCTTCTCCTGTGGGTAGCAGTGCAACAGTAACCAAATGTAAGATGATGTAGCACTCAGAACCTGAACCTGGCCAGGCTTAGAGTACCTAATCACAGAACCACAGAATATTAGGAGTTGGAAGGGACCTCAAAAGACCCAGTCCAACCCCAGGTCCCTCTGCAGAGCCTTCCTCCCCTCAGGCAGATCAACACTCCCACCCAACTTAGTGTCCTCTGCAAACTTGCTGAGGGAGCACTCAATTCACTCATCCAGATCACTGAGAAAGATGTTAAACAGGACTGGCTCCAGAACCGAGCCCTGGGGAACACCACTAATGATTGAGGTTTAATCCATAATGTTGTTCTTTCTCTTCTGGCTGGTGAAGCAGCTGGGGGAACATTACCTTCATCAGTTGCAACGGTCAATGACAGAGGGTTGTTTTCTTTATGGCAAAACATTCAACAGCCTCTCTGCCACCCAAGCTTCTCCTCCAGATATTTGATAACTGGTTTGAATTCAAAGTAGTCATGTCTGTCTCAAAATCCCTTCATGACAGGACCTTCTGCCCTTCCCACACACTGTGGTTGGCAGCTGACACTGCCTGTTTGACCTGCTGTATCCTCAAACAGTAAGGAGAGACCAGCTTCACTGTGGACTAAATCCCAAATTAGCAAATCCCAAAGACAGCTCTAGCTTGCTGGGCTCTCGTTTTCAGATGTTTCAAGTACCTGTGTTGCTTGTGTTTTTGTCAGCGTTTACAACAGAATAGCTGTCCCCAAAGCAGCACATTATATTAGGCTGTGTGCAATGCTGCGTCAGCCTGACATCTGGACTAGCTTGTCAGAGCCGGCTTGGGTATTTCTAGATAAAGCAATGTGCCCAGAGGGTGTTCTTGGGTTCCCATGGGAATTTTTTCTAAGGACGATAGACTATGAAATCAGTGGCATCTGGAGAGGATAGCAAGTCCCCGCAGCATGTCTTGAAGGTGAACTGCATCTCTCTCTCTCATGCTAGCTTATATGAATTTTATGGAGCATCCTGCTTACTGAGATCCTGTGGCATCTTTGTATGACTTCTCCAATGCGTCTTGTAATGCAGAACAGACACATTGAAAAACATGTCATTGTAATGTGCTCTGAATGTTGCACAAGGATCCCTTGGGCCTGCCCCTCTCCCTTGCAGTCTATGGATTGTCTCTGCTAGATTGTGTAGCAACAAAGTACTTATTGCCTGTAACACCACAGGAGGTGTCCAATAAAATAGTACTCTAGGAAGAGATGTATATTTCAGTTCTAGTTCTCTATCTTTTGCTATATATACAAATCAATCCATGAATACATTTCTCATCTGTGAACTCTGGCGAATTCTGTAATCCAACTATGAAGTGTGTTTCTTTGTGCTTGGACAGAGTAAAACCTTTTTTTTTTTCTCTCGTACTGCTAGAACTGAGCTGCCCTCAACTCCAAACACTTCCAGAAGAATGCTATAGTGTCAGAAGAGACTTATAACCCCAGGTATGTAGCTATTGGTCTCCTCTGGCAGTGGTGTGCATGACAAATAACTTGTTCAAGTCAAGGAACGTGATCTATATGTAAAGCCTATAAAATCCCTCTTGAATGCGCAAAGCACCTGAAGCTGGAGTCTTGTATTATTCATTCAACATCTTTCTAGAAAAAATTACCAGAGCACAATTAAGCACTGTATTTCTGGATTAGCTTTAATTAGCACGGAGGTAAGGCCCTGCACCTCCAGAGTTTTCCTTTGTTGTTCACTGATTATGTCACAACCAATCTTTAATAGTTTTCAGATGGAGCAATTATCTCCTGTTCTAGTGATTCTCTGCTGCTAGTGTCTTGCCAATTAGATACAGCCTCTAGCCATGCTCACTAATTTTGTCTGAAGTGAGCCTCAACTTGCCAATATTGGTTTTGATTTTTTTTTTAATTAAAAAAAAAATCATTTTTTAACAGGAATGTCTCCAAGTAAATTCACATCTGATGATTTTCTGAATTTTTGGGAATATGAGATCTAGTGCAGACTGAATTTGAGCTCAAGTGATTTCCCTTCACTTAAAGTGTTGGTTCAAAATTCTGGATTTATATGCTTTTAAACACAGAGCATCTGCAGCTGTCTATGAGCTTGGAGCCTTAGGCAAATCTTCAGAAAAGACTGTTTCCTTTTCTGACCCTTATACTTTGCCTGTACAGTGTTTTCGTAGGGATGCAGATAGAGACTGTGTGATCTTCAACTACATGCAGTATGAGTCTTATATGTTGACTCTTAATTTACTCAAACCTGAGGTAAACCTTGAGAGCGCAGAGACAATATGTTCCTCTGGTCACACTAGAGAGGAGGGTGATGCTGCATTTTCTGGGAGTGCAATGAGGCTGAGCAGCTGTGCTGTGATTTTCACTTACCATAGTTGTTTCTGCAATCGAACCAAAACTGTTGATGAAAATGTTGCAGCTGACATTCACTGGCGGGCCTGCATGACAAATACAGATTGGAACAGCAGTTCACTGTGCTTATAAGACAAAAGATTTCCGCTCTGTAGTATGAAAACCTACTGTGGGAGCAGGGTGCCTGAGGGGTGAATATGGGAATAAGGTCTGGATCACCCACCTTGGACCAGTCTTGGTTCTGATGCCAGTTTGACATCAGACAGTGCTCTTGCTTTACCTACATTCCTCTGTTTGGGAGAGTGTTTATATATCTCTTCTGTGAATTGTTTTGATGAAAAGGAATAGATCCCAGCCAAGCAGGACAGCTTTCTAGGTATCTCAACAATGCTGTATGGGGACTAAGCTCACCTTGAACATGTTAACAATGTATCCCAGAAAAGAGTTGAGAGACTACTGACAGGCCTTTTGTTCAGAGGTCTATACTTTTAAAAAGCTCATTTAAAGTATCTAAATGCTTCTGATCTAGGACTGTATGCCCTCTATGCAGCCAGTGCAGCAGAGTGTGCTGTAGGGATTAGGTTGGGTACAGAAGCAAGTGTCCTATGTGATACTGGTGGTGTCTGCTAAAGCTCACAGCTGGACAGGAGCCTTCAGGGGCTCAGACTTTGGCCTTCAGGGGTTCAGAAACTTGGACTACCCTGTTTTGGGAGAGGGCACTCCTAGACTTTGGGCCATGCCTCTCCTGGGCTTTATTTGCTTTTAGACCAAAGTTTTGCTTAGACTACCTGTATAAGAAAAATTGAGGAGCCACTGTAGGAGAGGAGTGAGGATTAGGGGTTGAAAAGATTGTGGTTAGAGGGCATGGGGGTCAGTCTGTGTGGTACTGGTGCTCAAACATATTGGCACAAGTGGAAGTGGATCACAATATTGCCTGGCAATTCTGAGGTGGAAATGTTGCATTTGCACTGAAGGACATGCCAAGAGCTGCAGTTCAGCACAAAGCAAAAAACTGAAGAAAGTTTTGGAACCAGAGTCATACCTGATGCCTGACAAACCAGTGGCTTAATGGGGGGGAGGGAGAAGCAAAAGGGCCTCTGCTCTGGGGGCTCCCAAAGGACCTGCTACTGGTGCTGCTCAGTGTGTGGTGGGGAAAGGCAGCCCAGGCAGAATAGAGGAACCTCCCCAGAAACCAAGGTGCCCCTTTAACACTGGGGGAATTAATCTCATATCATCCCTGTGACAGATGCTTCTGGGAAGATAAGATCTGTGGAAGTGGTGAGTGTGGATTTTTTAGATTATTCTCCCATCCTTTATGGAGTCAAGGATGGTGTCTGCATTTCAAATGCTGCCTGATGGCTCAGCCTCCCTTGGGGAGTGAAGCATGCCTGTTAAGGCCACATCTGTGGTCTGGCAGCTACTGCAAGATGAAATACTTGATGGCGGAAGGAATGGCTTTAACAAGAGGCTTGTGCCTCTAATCAGTGCAATCTTCCTCCTGTGTGGAAATTAATGGAATTTCCTGATTACTAAGTAACTTTTGGAGCTTGGTTTGCTCCTCTTCATTTCCCTTTCCTACGCTTCCACTTTAGCATCTTCTCGAAACTTTGTGCCCGTCCTCTGCATGAGTAGGACTGCAGCCACATAGCAACTCTCTATAGCTAGGATTGTGATGTGATTCCCAGGCAATCTGAGCAGGCTTAATCAGAGCTGGCTTCTGCATAACCAGCTCCCAGGCAGCCCTTTGCTAGCACAGCAGCAGCTCTCATGCTGTTCAGTCTGTGCAGCTTTTCAGCATCTTAAACATAGGCATGGGCTAAAATATTGAGGTACAAAATGGTCTTTTATTCCTCCCCTCTTATCTAGTAGTCTGTGAAGTTTGCTCAGTAGCTGAAAGCACTCACTTGATCAGGCTTTAGCACTTGTTTTATCCTTTCTGTAGTGCTCCTGTTGAGCTCTAGATCCATCTCATGAATGATACAGAAGGTCCATGTGCATGTGATTCCCCTTCCCAAAGGGCATGGCATGAGAAAGATACTGAGCTGACCTCCTGTGTACTGACACAGAGACATATACTTGTGCCTCCGACATGTGCAGACTATTTTGGCCCTGCTCTTCCTGATCTTATGCTGATGTGCTCTAATGATGCTGAGTATAGGATGAGCTTGGCCCAGTACACCTGAAGACTCTCTTCTTGAGGCTTCCCAGCCCTTGTTGGGGCACTGCGTTTTTCCCACTGTGTCCAAGGGGAGCTGTGAGCACTTTGCTGGGTGGGTGCATTGGTTTCTTTGTCTATTTGGGTGTTGGGTTTTTTGTAATTTTTTGATATTTTTTTAAAGTTTGTATGAGGCTCTAGAAACTTCCCTGCCTGTCACTGAGAAGTGCCACCTTTGCTATGGGATGCAGTTGTGAGGGAATATTGTTTTCCAGCAGCAGGGTGAAGGGTACAGCCTGGATGAGAGGTTCCCTGTCCTACACCTGCCAGGTCCAGCTCTATCCCTGCCGGGGTTAGTGACTTCTTCCTCAAACTTAAAGCAAGGCCCAAATGCTGTGAATTCCCAGCCAAGTCCAGACTTTACAGCATTTATGGAAAAGCTGCAATCTTCTTTTTGTTAATCTTCCCCTCCCCAAAAATCAATCTGATACAGATCTTTGGTATTATTTTCATTTAGATCTAAGTCATTAAAATGCCCTTATGAGTTACTGCAGTTAATTTAAATGACGTGCTTTGAGAGCTACAACCCCAAGCTCTCTAAAACACCTCCTATGCCTCCCATATAAATTGAAGCCTGATTTATGTGTGGGAGGCTAAGCCAGCAAAACTGCCCTGTGGGGAAGGTGTAGTTCATTGAAACAAAACTGAAATTAAATTACCTCAAATAAAAATGCAATACGGCTGCCTTCAGCAGGAAAAAAATACATTTCATTAAATATTAAAGTTTAATTTCTTTTGTGTGTGTGCATAATTTAGTGGTAGGCAGGTTTACAGGGTGGTTTTTTAACTCTCTGTGATTCGGACAAAACCAGCAGTGTTTTCTGTTGCCTAGTTGATTACTAGGGCATAAGCTTCCCACCTGTCTTTGGGTTTAAAAGTCCAGAAGGGAGCTTATCGCTTGAAGCTGGATGGCAGGTGCTGTCACCATGGTTAATAGGTCCTGGAAGCCCTGTGTTAGCATTGCCAGTCACTGTTAGGGTGAGGAGGAATTGGTGGTAGGAAACAAAAGTGAATTAACATTGAAGAGGGGTGGACAGTGGCTGAGAGGGTGTCCACTTTAGATGTGAGTTGAGGGCAAATAGTTCCAGGAGAGTGAGCTCAGCTAAAAAAAAAAAAACCAAACAAAAAAACAAACCAAAAAACCATAAAACCCACCCTTGTTGGAAGTGGTGTTTTGAGGAGCAAAGGAAGAGGTTCTGTTGTCTGTTCCAATCATGCTTCAATGCTACTTGGCTGTTGGGAGTATAGGGTGAACTGGGGAAATGAGGTGTGAAACACAGCTGTTGTGATGGAGCGATGTTGGGTACTGCCTTGAGAGCCACCCTACCATGGGGGACAGTGAAGGGTGCCCAGTGAATTGCTCTCAAACCAATGGGTGAGCCCCCTCTTGGCTTCAGTGGGTGTAAGTGGTAAGAATTACTCACTGTTACAAGGTGGTGTGGGTGGTGACTTAGGGGAAAAGTTGAAGTTTTTCCCCCAGTCCATAAGAGGCTCAGCTCCCTGCCAGTCACAGTTTGGTTTGGCAGGATCCCAAATCTCTATATTGAAGTATTTCCTGCATGTAAAGTTGTTACAAGATTGTTTCCATTCTGAGTGGAAATTACATGCCTTTCCAGATATCTACAAGGCACCCATGTGCCAAATTTCTCATTATCATACATATTTCATATGAATTTAAAAATAGTTCATATTCCATAAACAGGGAGGCATTCATAAGGATTGCACGCAGTTTTCAGTCTTAAAATGAAACAAAGGCACAAAAGCAGGGATTTTGCATACCTTTAAAATTTGGCCTGATCCTGGCATCATATCCTGAAGTTCGCCCCATCAACTTATCCAAGAAATCGGAAGGAGACATGGGTTTGGGGGCAGATCGTGCTGCTGCTTCAGCTTCCTTGGAGGCTGCCAGGCTGTTTGAGTAGAAGGAAAAAGGAGATTTTAGTCTACATCCCATACTGGGGAATGTTTGTGGTCCAAAAATGGAGCAGTCAGCATCTTGTTCCCGCTGTGCAGCAGGATGGGTACCCATGTGAATTCCTGATGAGGCTGGTCTCTGCTAATTTGTTTGCCCAGCCCAAATATCTCTGAATACAGAATCCCAGCTGCCATCAAAGTAGAAGAGAGATGATGAGTAGAGAAAATCCTTTTGTGAGTTTAGGTATAGCTCCTTGGCATGCCACTAAATTACAAATGTGAATTCTGGCACTGAGCTCCACAGGAAAAATACACTCTGAGATTAGCCTTGGGCAGCAATTACTGCTTAATTACATGGCAAATAGCAAGGAGCATATCTGGTACTCTGACAGTCTAATTTTCCAAAAGGCAGGTAGGATCAGAGCAATCAGGAATTTGAGGCTTAAATGAGTGTCATGTGATTGTATAGCTCCTGCAGAGCCTCTGGGACTGTAGGGAATGGGTGTATTTTTGCTTCTTTCTTGCAGGTCAGTCTAGCACTTGCTATTGGTACCTGCAATGCAGAAGTCCGAGTCAATACAGCAACATGGTCTCTGGACTGGGAGGTGTTTTGACTGTGATCTTGAAACGATACTCATGTTGGGCTGAGGATAAAAGGAAATTAAATCTTTTGGCACCCATATGTCCCACTGGGGCAGAAATAGTGAAATTATTAATTTCTCTATAGAAGACAAAAATAAATCTACATGTGCCTTCTGACTCCATGGGAGTAGGGTGATGATTTGGGCTTAGGCAGTCTCTGTTAGCATCTGCACAGGAAGAAGTGATCCCCTGGTATTAGGTGCTCAACTTTGCAGGAAGGTTTGATTTCCAAGGTAGGATCTGAATAGTGTTTTATCCTTCCCTCTATGGTTATATGGTTTCTGCTCAAACACGAATCTGTTCCCAGACTACAAGTGGGGTGTAAGTTGCCTAGACTAGCAAAATAACCTGTCCCAAACCCATAGGTGACTTGCAGTGTGCTTAGGGGAAGAGCTGTCTCTGTCTGTGGGTTCAGATGCCTGACGCTGGTTGAAGCCTACAGGCAATGTTGCAATGCAAATGTATAATAAGCCAAAGAAAGCTGCTCAGGAGGAAATTAGGTTCATTGCTTCACCCTTTGCAAAACTCCTGAGTTCTTTAAAGTAAAAGGGCTCTGGCTGAGCAGCTGAGAGACCTAAGCATGTTTACAACAGGCACAAGATATTTAGCTATATATGTCCTCACAAATGGAGTCTTCTTGCAGTATAAGGAACTCATTTTGGGAAGTTTTGCAGCTCTTGTCTCAAGACAGTCTGCAGTAGTCAAACGTGCTGCCTTTCAGAAGAGTAGTGTTAGGTACTGACACAAGATCTATCAGGAAGAATTTAGGAATGGTTACTCTGCATGCCATTAATGTGAATGCCCTCAAAGACCTGTTCATATAATGCAAGTTGAACTGAGACTCCAAAGACATGAATGTTATCTAGATGAGGCCTTGACAAGAGCATTTGGAACCACCAAGGTCTCCAGGACTTTAAAAATGGATGGGATTCAAAGAGATTTGGGTGCCATAATTTCAAAATCAGGAGACTGTACTGCATTCTCTTCTTTAGTGTTACCAGTGATGGCTTGCCAAGCCTTGGTTTTCAATCCTGCAAGCTTACAACTGCAGTCTGTCTTTTTTGCAAGCTGGAGCTGTATTAGGGTTCTCTGATTACTAGATTTTTAACTGTTAGAAATTGTTTCATTTCTGCAACAAAGAGAGGAAACAAATTCCAGATCACTTCCAGTGGGAGTCTAAAACTAGGATTTCATTCACCCTTAATATATAAACAATCTACTACTACACTGGGCCTTTTCTGAACTGACTGATGCACACTCATGCTTGGAGGGGATCTGACAAGGTGCTGATCTAGCTTTTTCTGTAGCCACATGGACAATACTCTTGTATTGTCCTCATCTCCGCTCTAAGAAACTATGCCAAGGCAAAACAGTGTTTCAGGGGTAAATGGTGGTGTGGAATGGGTGATTTTTTTTTTAATATATATATATATTTTTAATAAAGAAAACAACAGGGTGAAATTGATTTGTGAACTCAGAGCAAGGAAGCTGGAAGTGGGAGGACAATCAATACTGGGCTCAACTGCTGCATTCCAATAGAGCATCTGCATAGCGATGAGTCTAGAGAAAAGGTTTCAATTAAGCGGCAAATAACCTGGTAACCAAAGACTCCTGCCACTTCTGCAGCAAGATGCCAGATAGTGCAATACACTGATTCCTTCTCATTAACTGTAGACTGGAGAAAGTATATGGAAGTGGAAAAGTAGGGGGCTGAGGGGTGAGAAGAGGCAATACAAATCTAATAAGCTTTAAGTGCAAAATGATAATTAGAAACTGCATTTTCCCTGGCATTAGTTTTAAAAAACAAGGTGAAAAAGCACAGAAATCAGTGTTCAGCTTTCCTGAAAATTCAATGTGAAAGTCCATGCTGAATATGTTAATTCCAATGAGTGAGTCTGCTGGTGCTGCTTGGGAGCCATTTTTTAATTCTTTCTGCTTCAAAGTTGCAAGTGAATGAATTTCATGGGCTCAGTTCCTCCATGGAAATTTATATCTAAAACAAGTGATTCCCACAAGTATTTAGGAGAGGACCATCCTCTCACAGCCCTGTTGCTTTTTGTAGCTTCATGCCCATCCCTACAAGCTTTAGTGAACACCTCTGAGGATGGGCTAAAACTGTTAAACATGGCTTCGTGCATCCCAGGGGGTGTGTTAGAAGCTGTGTTAGTCTGCTGTTTCTTACCCAGGTAACCTAGGAATGAGGAGTCCCGAGTTTCTTCCAGTTTCCATTTGGTTACTAAGTATTTTCCTAAAAATAGATGGTAACAACTTCCCCTCTAGACATGAGAAGAGAAGGCAAGAAAGCAGGGGATGAGGGAATAGCAAAGCTTTTCCAGCAGCAGGCAGAGGTGTCTCCCCTCTAGCTCAGAAGTAGTAGTAGAAAACAAGACTGGGAGCTACAGAGTGGCTGGCCCATGCCTCTGTGCTTTGGAGGGATGGATTGCATCTAACAAAACCTTGAAATGTTTGCTCTGGCTGTGATGATTGAGCTTTGCTGTGGCCTTTTAGCTCAGACAACACTCAGAAAAAGCTATCAGCTTCTGCTCTCTTCCAGGTCTGTCTCGCCCAGTGCTGTGTGCTGTCTTGGGAACTTTCTGGGATATTCTCTATCCGTTATTTCTTAGAGAAGCACCCTTGAGAGTCCCATGGGACTGTTCACCTCCTGGCCTAGCAGAGACGAAGAAAGGAAAATTGCCAAGTGATTTGAAAATTATTGATGGTAGGAGAGGGTTGGAAATTTAGGGTGGGTTGTTGTGGTGTTCAGAGAGAAAATTTATTCTCCAAATAAACAAAGAGAGGCAAAATATGTAACAAAAACACTGAGGATGTAGCTTGCATTGGTGCAAGAGTGTTGTCTGAGCTGAGAGCGTCTTGCTGCATTTTAATAGCAGACAGTGGCTTATCTTATTTATGCTGGTGTAATCCCTAGTGGATCTGGCTGAGAAAGTGCCATCAGGCAATCATCGCAGCAACAGCAATGGAAAGGATCTCTTCAAAAGGTCGAAGAACCAGCATAATCTTCTCTGATATTAACACTGGCATGTAAGCAGACACCACCAAGCCCCTAGGAGGTCTAGCCTACCAGCAAGCACTTGAAGGTGCAAGCTGGTGGAAATGAACAGCCCAGCTGCTCAGGATACACCAAAATTACATTCCTTAAAATGAAACAGTCTGGCTTTGCAGGACATCTACTACTGGTTTCTCCCAGCCTATCCAAGCCCTGTCTACATTATTTTGTTTCAGCAAAACAGATTATATATTCTTATAAAGACATCTTTGGTTTAGAAAGTGGCTCTTCTACAATCTGGATGTGTTGGTTTGCTTGGTTCCCAGCTCCCCAGTTGGCTCTTTCTTCCTTTTCCTCCCCTCTTCCCTCACCCTTCCACCATTTGTATGGCCCTTGTGCAATATTTCCATGCTTTCTTTTGGCTGTGCCCATGGTTGTCCATCTAATTAAGTTCAGCATCACAAACTGCCGTGTTCTGGTTGAATGCTGATACTGAGAAATATCAGTTTCTTTTCTTTGAAAAGAGGAGAGATGAAGGAATTTAATTACCATGGGGCCTCTATTCACCTGTCAAATAATGTAATTGTTAATCATTAATTCTGGGGGGGAGGGGGGGGATATCTGGCAGCAAAAGCACAAACTGTTGCAAAGCAAGTGTTTGCAGAGGAAATATATCTCTTGTAAGCGTGGAAGGCTCGGGTCCCCGTGAAGGGAAAGTGGTGCCTCACCAGTGGCTCAGGAGAAGAGCACTGGGTTTATTCCTCTGAGCTCTGTGCAGGTTGGGGAAACACAAGTTATCTGATGGTTTACCCCAGTTCAGCGCTGCTCAGGAAAGGTTTCTGAAGTGTTTTCTTTGTTTATTGTTGAAATACAAGGCAAGCCAGAAGCTTGGCAGGGATGTATTTGGAGTAGTGTTCAGGTGAGCCGGCTCACACATTTGTCCTTTAAACATGATGTTTTCTGTAAGCAGATATCCCAGGGGAAAAGGGAAGTCCATCAGATCTTTGAGGCAGGCTAAGGTGACCAGTATAACTGTTTCCCCCATTATCTTTAAAGCCAGGCCTTTCTAGAGCAGTGTGGGGTCTTGGGGACACTGGAGAATTCGCCAGCTTAGTTTTAGTGACTCCAGCAGGCTCTGAGAGGCACAGTCACAAAAAGAACCTCAGACAGCTGGGTGCAGAAACGCATCATGTCACCCATGATTAACTGGCTTTATCCTGCCCTGCTCACCTGGGCTTCCCAAACCACCTCCCTGGTCCCTGCGATGGGGCCTCTCCGAGCAGGGAGTGGAGCTCAGCAGAGCCCAGCCTGTACTCGGCCTCTGCTGATGCTGGGGCTGCCTGTCTC